AATCTTGCCATTGTCATTAAAACAACCTATACATTCTGCATTAGACATGGATCCTAATGAATTAGTTGGAAAGTTGAGCCAAAGAATATGCGGGCAATATAACTGCACTTGTTGAATGTTTACACGATAAAGAAAAAGGTATAGAAGCCAAAGAAAATGTGAAAAACATGATTAGCAGAAAGAAAACAACTTTTTTACTGGAACATACTCTATAGATGACAGCTGGGACATTGCTGTCGCATACGAATACTATTCGATCCCGCAAATGAAGTTCGACCAAAGCGGCATGATCGGGCATAGGATCGCGAAATCTAAATAAAGAATTACGCCCTTCTTTGAGCAGAATCACAACAGAAAGATTTCTTACGGCTCTCCATTTGGTGACCAGTCAATTATGGCTTTCTTAGTGACAGCTCCTGCCAGACTTATTATAGTACTGAGGAAAAAAGCTGTGAAGATAAACTCCTTTAAAGGATGTTCATCGCGGAAAGACCGAAAGACTGCCATGAGATATCTGAACAGACAGCTGAAAACAAGAACAATCAAATCAGTAGATAGCAAAAAGAAAAGAATTGGTGAAGCTGCAATAAACTACGATTCGAAAAGAACCGAATCAATCATTGCATCACACACAGAATAAAGTTTATTGATGGTGTCATGACAATATGATCAAACTATCAAATTAAAGTAAAAAAGAAAACAAGAGCAAACACTAGAATACTGGAAATTTTTCTTATTTTGAAATGAAGAAACAAATAGAATAATTAACAAAGACAATAAGACGTATAAAATGATTGAGAAAAAGACGAAAAATCAAAACGCAAAAAATATTAGGTGCCAGCTGGCCTAAATCCAGGACAAAGGATTACGGTATCGTCTCAAGCAACACTTCTGCTGTTGGAGCGCCATTGTAGAGAACTTTTTTCTGGTTGGAAGTATTTATAGAAGTGTTATTGAAGAATAAGCAGAAGCACACGTATCAGTGTTCCTTTTTACGCTACCCCTAATAAGTGCGCAGTGCTTCCTGTTAAGCAGTGACAGGATGGGTAGATAGTCAGTTTAGAACCCTTCGTCCCCATGAAGTGCAGTCGA